GTTTGTATATTGATTTTAAGGTAGGCTACTTGGAGAGTTTAACTCCATTTAACCCCCTAGTTGATACATTCATTTTATATTTTTTCAATAGGGAAAAAGGGGTAGCATTTAGCAATGTTTGAAGGTGTGACTAGTAATTGAGTCAAGACTGAGCCTAGGCAAAATTTTACATATTGGACTCATTTTGCTCCTAATTTTTCATAGATTTGATTTAGCTAGGTCTCATCATCATATGATGAACCTAATTAAACCAAATCAAATATTTTTGAATTAAATCAAGTGAGCAAATTGAGTTCTTGGCCGCCTAGCTTCCTTGTCTTTCTTTGGCCGGATTTCAAGTCACCTTCTTCAAGTTTAGTAGCTTGTCATCCAAGTTTCTAAACCTTAGAGGTTTAGCCGAACTTACCATGGTTCTTAAGTGAACCATGGTCAAGGTTAGCTTCTCCTACAAGCTTTATAAACCATGGACGGTCAAGCCTAACCTCACCATGGTTCCTAGTGAACCATGGTTAAGGTTAGCTTGCTTCCTAAGCTACCTCTCCCTATATATTTGTAATCTTTTCTCTTGTATTCACTTTTGAACATTTTGATAAATAAAACTTCAGATTTCTCTCACCCAAGAGTCCCTAAAAATCGTAGAGAATTTTCTCTCTAAGGTTTCAATCAAAGTTCTTCAAGCTTTGCCTTGGTTCCTCAAGTTTCTACAACAAGCTAGGAGTAACCAAACCACTTTAAGTGCTTCTCCTCCATTGAAGTTTGCTTCGTGGAGATTCAAGCTTCTTGTGAAGGTTTCTTCAAGAGTTCTTCGGTCCTTGCATGGAAAGCTTGGAAGAATATCAATCCTCTCCAAGTAGCTCCATCAGTTGGTAATTTGAAAAATATAATGACAATAAATTAAATAAAAAAAGTAACCAATGAAATTCTTAAATGGTTTAATAATTTTACATGCTAATCAATATACATATATATATATAACATTATTTTCATCAATTATAAAATATATATTTTAAAATAAAAGATTTAAATATATATTAATATTAATATATAAATTCAATTATATAATTTGATATATATATATGTATAATAAATTATTTTTTAATTTAACTCTTAAATATCCTTTTAATTAATAAATTACTTTAAATTATTTTATATTTAATTAAACATGTGTATATATATTATTAATATTGAAAAATTAATAAAAATAAAACTATAAGTATACATATTTTTATCACCACGCTCTTATTACAAACCATTTTGTAGTGGCAACTGTCTCACCCTTTTGATAAATAAATAAAAAAATTGGTATAACATAAGCAACTTCCTAAAAGCATGGCATGTTTGATTTTGTTGGGGTTGATCAATCCTAGAAAACATTTTTCACATTATTTTATGCAGGATTCCAAACTAATGGTGTTTTTTTTTAGTTATTTCCTGGTTTGAAATATTTCTTCATAAAGAATATGCAACTGCATTATTAATTATCTCTGCAAATATGATACTATACTTTTCTTCTAGTTTAAATTCTTGGGTTGGAACTTATTATATTATATACCTTACAGTAAAAAAAATCCCCTCCAAATTTTGAAGATTATCACCCTTTCCTTTGTTGTTGATATGCATTTATCTATTCAGTTTGTCAGATTAGAATAATGGTTTGTTTTGATATAACCTTTTGCCACAAAACTGAGGTTTATTACTATTACTGTTGAATATAATTTGATTTGTTTCTTGGGTAATTTGTTGGTGTCTCTTCTGAATTTTTAGTTTTGAGTGCACACGGCTTAACTGGAATAGATATATTTGAATGAGTTTTATAGCCTAATCAATATTTCAATTTAATCCTACCGAAATAAGATCTTAAAGTGATTGTTGAAGTGGAGTTAGTGTTTGGAATTTTCCCAATTCATTATGGGTTTGGACTATTGTGAATGCTTTCTCTCAACTATAATGTTGGTGAGGAAGAGGAAATTGGGTGATCAATGATGTAATTTTGGTGACATTACTTGGATGCTACCATTTGTAGAGGAGAAATGTCTTTATCTTTACATGGTTGGATTAGAATCAATTGAAATGCAAAAAAACAAAAATGGAATGGGGCAGGAGATGTAGATTGAGCTAATTTTTTTATTTACTTGTGCAACTTTCAAACTCTCAACTTGTTTATGAAGACTCCAATTTTTGGTACTAGTGTGATCAAATGAATAAACAAATCTTGAATTCTCTAGAATTTTCTTATTATATATCTGCGTAGTATGTAAAGATTATTCTTTATATGACATCTGTTAAGTCCAATCTATTTTCTTAAAATATATATGGACATTATGTTGTTCATATATATGTTGTCCAATTTATTAAGTCCACTTGTATAGAATGTTGATTTGGTTATTAATTTATTATGTATAGAATGCTAATTTGGTTATTAATTATATGCTTATTAACTGTTTATTCAATTCTTATAATAGAGGCAAGTGAAATGAAGAATAAAACACGAAAGTAAAATGAACCATCATTAAACATGACAAATGAAGACCCAGTTAGTCATAAATAAATTTTCGTCAAAATTATACAGAAAACAATAATAAATTTAACATATAATAAATCATAGAATTACGACTAATGAAGTTTATTATTCTAGATTATAATTAAGATTAAGATTATAATTTAAATAAGAGGTTGAAGACGTGATAAGAGGAGAGAGTAACAGTGTTGAGGTTCAATTTTTGGATCAAGATACCCCTTTCTGGGCTTTTCATGTATCTGTTTATTATACTTTTGAGAGGTATGAAGACATGATAAAGGGAGAGAGTAAACTACACGGTTTTGAGGTTCGATTATAGTATCAAGATTCCTCCAAAGGGAACTTATGATACTGCAGTTTGATCATCTACCATTTCATCTTAAGTTCCATCCTGCCATGCATATCAAATCACGTAAAGAAGCCAATAAAACAATAAAAAAATGAAGTAGAAAGAAATGAAGATGAGAGAGAAAGAATGTACCAGTCGAAAAAAAAGAATAGGATGTGAGAGAGATGGAAAGTGGGAGATGTGGGAGAAAAATAGAAATTATTATAAGAAGAAGTAGCAGTTTGTCGGTTTCTAATCTTTGAATGAAACAAATTAAATTTTTTTTCTAATTTTTGTAAATAACCATAAAAAAATATGGACACATGGCAGTTTGTCGGTTTCTAATTTTTAAATGAAACAACAGATTCAAATTTTTTTTTCTTCTAATTTTTGTAAATAACCGTAAAAAAAATATGGACACATGATTGATTTAAGTGGTAATTATGTCAACAATTAAAGGATAAAAATGACTTTAAAAAGTGGAAACCAAACTCATGTATTCCCTTTATCTATTGTTATAGATAAGAAATTATTTGGAAGTTGTTGACATCTATCATACTATATTGTTGTTTCCCATTCAATTTACTGCAACCTTTTGATTTTCTAAACTATAATAAAACCTTAATGTTGGAAAATGAAAGGGATAGTGAAAATAGGTGAAGTCTTGATTTTGTATTATGGCACCATAAATACTTAATGTTGGAAAATGAAAAATAAAACCTTAATGTACCCTAAACCTTAGGTTATGTTTGGATTGAAGGATGGATTTGGGGGAGTGGAAAAGGAAAGATTTGAAGAGAAAGAGAGTGAAAAGTGAGGTTGTTTGGATTAAGGGAAAAATAGTGGAAAGTGAGTGGAAAGTTTGTGAGAATTTGTGTACAAATTGATTGATGTGATAGATAAAAATTAAAAATTTAATAGATGAATATGTAATTTACACTTTTACCCTTGGATTAAAAATGAGTAGAATATTATTTATTGTAAATAATAATAATTACAATAAAATTATATTAATAGGTATAATTTATTAAAAAATAATAAATAATGATAATAATAATAAATATTAGAAAAATAATAAGAATCATAATAAATAATAATGATACTAATTATAATAAATAATAATAATATTAATAATAATGATAATAATAAAAATATTTATAATAATAAATAATAATAACAACATATATAAGGAACGAGGAAGGAACGCGCTTGGAAGCAAAAATATGCCACCATAATCGATTATGTATGGCACATAATCGATTATGATGGTTGAGGGTTTAGTTTTTCACCGTGGTTTGCCCTCCATTCTTCATTCTCATACTTCGGTTATCCTCCCTCATGCATAAAGAAATGAAGCTTACCTACAATGGCTGCCCCGTCGAGAATCACTGCAGCATCAACCACCCTCGCACGAGCACACAACACACAGAGCTTCCAAGTCTCTTATAAAAGCGTGACTAGTGAGACCCATTCAGCCTCATTTCAAACGCGTCACTGTGCCATTCAAACGAAGGACAAAGGCCCGTGAACCATGGAAGACATTCCTCTGTTGCATGGCACAGTCTCTACATGCATGAGCATGGCAGAGCTTCATCTCTTTTCAACTTTTAGGTAGGGGTATTATCGAGTTTTTTGATTTTTTACGTGACTTTCATCTCTTTTTTCCACAACTTCACGAGGAACGGCCACGCGAGTTCTCCCGCTTTTCTTCGCTTTTCTTTCGGTGCAAATTAGCGGAAACAAACGTCAAGTTTTTTCACTTTTTATTCGATGTGAACAATAAATCTCCTGAAACAAACAGAGGCTTAATTCACAAAAGACTTAATGTACGGAAAATGGAATAAACATCAAATGGAACAACTTATTTTATTAAGGGAAAAATTTCATTTTAGAGAAAGATAATTTTTTTTACATTAAAAAATAATAATTTATTAAAAAATAAAGACAAAAAATATAATTATTAAAATATATTTCTTTATAATAGGTATAGATTAAGATTAAAATATATTAAATTGAGGTTTCCATTTATACATTTGTTAAATTATTTTGTCATTATAGTTATTTTCATGTTTTTTTTAATAAATTTTCAATTAATCACTTATTTTATTATTAATTTTTATTAAATAATAATTGAAGCACGTAGTGCATATTCCGGTTCCCTGCTAGTTATAGAATTGAAAATTGCGCAGAAGAAGTGGCGAACGCAGTTTGAGCGTTGCATCGTTGCCACAAAGATGACATCGTTTGGGTTCCTGAAATCCACCATATTCGACAAAGAAGAGAGAAAACAGTGAGTACTGATTCTTTTTCTTCATTTGGATTTAATTGGATTTCTAAACCCTAACATTAACCTAATGGCAATCGCAATCGCAATCGCAATCGCAGGCAGTATCAGTCGCACATTCGAGGCCTCAATGCATACGACCGTCACAAAAAATTCATCAACGACTACGGTAATCTTTCTGTTACAAAATTATTGATTATACTCTATAAGCACTTAAAGTAGTAAAATTTGGTGAAGAAAAAATGGAATAAACTTTTTCCCTAAGCTAGAATGATTTTAACTGTTTTTTAAATGACCTCTTTTCCTGAATAACGTTTTAGCCTTGAATTTTTTCCTGTTTCGTGATGTAATTTTAACTGTTGTCTGATTTCAGATGCCATTCTGTTTAGGGTTGATGGACAATAAGAAATTGATCGAATTTCTAGCTGTTGATTTGGTTGGTTTCTTAGAATGATGTCCTATAGCAAATGGATGATGAACAGTTTCCTCCACTGAGATGGAAGGAGGCTACAGTCATCCTCACATATATTCAAATATGGCTCCATCTCCTCTAAAGTGACCAACTCACTTTGAAGGATAAAGCGAGTAATTTCATTTGTCAATGATAAGATCAACGGTTGATATTACAAGCACATGTATAAGAAACCATGAATGTGTTAGAATATTAACTGTTGATATTGTATATTACTTACTTTATCTTCCTCATTTTAGAGGAGCTAAATCCTTCAAATATATCCCTTTTTTGTAGTTGTTCCACTGATTTTTCCTTTGCAAAAGACAAGTTTGTTTTGTTCTTTTTCTGGCTTCTTTGGGTTAATAATCAGAGTTTTTTTAATGGGTTTTTAACTGGGAAGCTTAGCTTGGTTTGCTATGGCTTCACAGTGGCATCTTTGTTTTGTTTTTCTATCCCATGTTCTGTTGGAAATTTGATGGAGTAATAAGAAACCAATAAAAAGATACTGATAAGCCCATTATGCATGTGTATGGGAAGAGAGGAAGAGGAAAGCCTGTGGGAATGAATGAAGGGACAAATGGTCCAAATAGAGGCCTGTTAGTGTGTGAGAGGAGAAAGAAAATCAGGGCAGTCAGGGGCACCAACTGAGGTGGCATTGGTTGAGAGAGAAACTGAGGTGAGAGAAGGAGAGCATAATGGAATTGACAGCTGGCACATGGAGAGAGGAAGGGGGCATGAGGGTATCATGCAGGATAGTGGGTATTTGGAGGGGGGTGGTTTGAAAGAAGAGGGGGGATGATTGAGGAGTAACGGTAGTGGGCTAGCTGAGAGAAGTTGGTTTCTCTTCTTCCTTGGTAAAAGGTTGCAGTCTGGTTTTGGGTTCAGTTTCTATTTCCTTTATTTTCAGCTTGTCAAAAACTACAGTTACCTACATTTTAATTCATTCTACTCTAATACTGTGATAGAGGTTTCCCCTTTTGATTTCTCTATTTTCTGTATTAATAATATACATATTTTCTATATCACTCTTGGGTCATATCAGATACCTTGATCTGAATGGTCTTTTGTGAAATTTAATTTTTTTGGCAAACCACAATGATGTTTGATTTGTATAACTTACCCCAACATGTGAGAAAAAGGATTATGTTGTTGCCATTGCTGTTGTTTCTCTGATGGAAGTTATTATCTTTGTTGTAAATGCTTCAAGTTATTTTACCATCTTGGTCCTGCTGGAGAATATTTCAGTTTTCCACAAAATTTCAGCTTAACTCTTTTTTTTGTTTAATTTTATTATTTTCCAGCCAGAATTTCTTCTGAGATTTTTTTTGTGCCTACAGTCAATTACTATGGGAAAGATAGGTCTTCAAACCTAAAGTTGCCTATCAAAACAGATCAAGATACACTAAGAGAAGGATACAGGTAAGCTTGTTATCTTGCATCATATTAGCTAAATTCCTGCCCACCTTATATTTTTGTCCTAGACCTTGTTGCATTGCCGCAATGTCTCCTCTTCTCTTTTAATATAAGAAATGAGCCTTCCGTCATTATTTTTTCCTATTAATGTGAAATTGTGAATATGAGTAAATTATCTTCCATACTTAAGATCTTTTTGAAGCTTCCCTTGTGAATTACGAGAATATAAATTGATGGCCTATACTAAAAAACCATTGCCTTCTATGTGTTTTTCAAAAGTGACCAAAGTTCAAGGTATATTTACATCACACTATTATATATTGTATTCATCAAAAAGTTAGATATTGGTAAATAGCAATAAATTGTCATATTTTTCAAGTGAGGCCTTACTTCACAAATATGACGAATTGTGGTTATTTACCAATATCTATTGGTAAAAGCATTTTGTCTTCCTGCCTGATCATCTCTTCTCTCAGTTTGTTTATTTCGCATCAGAATTTTAATGTTGTTTATCCAAATATTGCAAGATTCATCCGGTCAGAGGAAGATGATATGGATCCTTCATGGGAACAAAGGCTGGTGAAGCGTTATTATGACAAGCTTTTTAAGGAGTATCCTTTGCAAACATATTCAATTTTCTTACTAATATTATTTATACTGTAGGACTAGGAGTGATGGTTTCTTTTATTTATTTATATATGTAATATTGACATTTGGTTTTAATTATAAATTGTTGGTAAGGGAATATGGACAATGCACATGTAAGAGATTCAGAGATTTCTATATATTAGATTTTGCATCCCATTTACCCAATTTGGTTCCTCTTCCACAAAGCATTTTATCTAAAATAGCTTAAATGAAAGGATATAAAAAGTTATTATTGAGATTTCTTTTAATTTACTCCAATATAAGAGTGACATTTGTGGAGTGGAGTCTATTAAGTGCCTACCTGCAAAATTTTCTTTTATAATGATATATACATATTTTTTTATTCTTTGGGGTAAATTTCTTTCTCCCCCCCCCCTAATAGTTGAAATCAACTTGTAATCTCTTTGCTGATTGAAACTAAGACTAAGAAGAAACTATCAATAGTTAACTATATGATTTATTCATCTATACTTCCAGAACCATAATGTGTTGCCTGTCCTGTGGAATGTTAACTTATGGTGGCTATCCTATAGAGCATTACATCCTTTTTGTCCGTCTCTCTCTCTTTGATCTTTTGTCATACTCCTGCTTGATTAACTTGGAGCTTTTCTACTTGCCACCTCATACACCAGGAGTTTGTGAATCTTTTTGATCATTCCTTCTTAACTTAATTTGTGCATGTTTACCATGAAAGTAATTGTGGCCTGGAGCTACTTGTGAAAAATACTGTTATTTGTTTGTTTTAAAATGGTTTGCAACTTTGCAGTAACCATCTAATTTTACAATGTTATTGAATTTAGTTACGTGTTTGTTTGTTTGTACCTTAATTCCTTTCAAGATACTGCCTAGCTGACATGTCACAGTACAAGAGTGGTAAGGTAATTAATCATTACTTCTGGAATACATTTTTGCATGATTGCTTGATGTTGCTACCTTATATACTTGTACTTATGACTGAAACCCTATGTTGGTCTTCAAGAGATATGGTCAGTATCAATTGAGCCCTTGACAAAATTTTAACATCAGTTTACTTCCTGAGAGTTAATATTGCCATTCTGTATTTTCCAGATTAAGCAAAGTGTACAGAAGGACTCAATCTATTGAGGGCTTGAATGATGCTGACCCTTTCTCTTTGGACAATCAAAATAATGCTTTAATCTATTTTTATTCTTGTTTTGGTAAGGCACACTGGCACCTAAGGGCAGGAATTTTTAACTTGTTTCTCTGCCTTTCTGCCTAAACAGGGAGATGGGTTGTCACTAGATGTCTAGGATGCATAAATGGTCCTCCTGCTTTGGTCCACCCTAGCTTATTATATCTTGCTGGCTCAACTATACTATTATACTCCTGTTAAAGAGCATTGAAGATTTTTTTTTAAGATAACAGAAGTTAATTTGTATTATTATTTTTTAAGTCATTTAAAATTATTTGAGATTGAAGGGGTGTTGTCTTCATCTCATTTTTTCATTGGATGTTGGTGAATGGTGATAGAGGAGTTTTATGAAGTCTAGAAACCCCATTTTAAGTAGAGTACATCTTTAAAATAGTATACTAATACATTGCTTTTTCTTATTAGATTGGTCTCAGGTGGCGGACAGAGAAGGAAGTAATGTCTGGCAAGGGTATTAATTATTCTTTCACTGGCTAATACTTCTTAGTATTGATTCTCTCAGTTCCTTCCCATGTCTCACTGGGACTATTTCTGAAATCATATGCTTTCTGGTTTGTGTTCTTTCTGTAGACTACTACTTAGGCAAAGAAACTATCCAATAAAAATTAATGTCTAATTTATTAAAGATTAATTGAGTTTAATCTACTTTATACATGCAATAGAATTTTAATCTGAGTATCTGAATCTTCTGTAACTGATCCTTTTAATAGATACACACCATTTTAGATAAAAATTAAAATGTGAAGTATAATTTGTTGGTTTTGAAATGATGCTCTCCCAGTGATATCACATTATCACTTTCTTTGTGAACTTGTCGGCCTTGTCTCTGCATCTTTTTCTTTAAAAAATTATAAAAGAATTTTCATTTGAAAAAAATAGCTAGGGGAAAGAATAAACTTGTTTTTAGACATCCAATTTCTAAGCCTTAATCCCCCTTCATTCTTAGACCTTCAACAGACCTTGTAAGTCCTAACTATGGAAATGATCTCTCTCTTCTGTGTTTGCCCACACCTGATTTTTAAAATAGACCAAGTATCGGACAGAATGTGACTCAAGGGACAACACAGCTCTAAATGTTGTTGCCTACTAAGCCAGGGGAAAAAATTGTCCACAACACAATGAAAAAGTACCAATCACCGCTACCCATTTCATTTTGTGCAAACAAACAATGACCAACACAAACGGTACTACAATAAGTTATTTTGCTGCATAATCTTGGACTAAACAAGATTTTGGTCCTACGCAATGGTCATTAAACAGCTAACAGTACACAATTTTCCCGTGACTTAATTACTTGGGCTGTGTTGTCCCTCAATGTGCATCAAACACTCTTAAAAAGAGAATCATATCATCAGATTGAAGATGGGCACCAATCCCCTTGAGTCAGCTCAGTTGATTGAGTTACAAGACATGAGTTGTGAGTGTGTGGGTTTAATCCTATACAATGCACACTACCGCTTACCCATTCCCTCATTCCCTTTCCCAACCCCCTTTGAAGACCTACTATAAGCCTTTCCTTGGACAAAAAAGAAAGAGGTGGATGCCAGGAACATGCCCTGAATTACTTTAATAACCTAACTTCATTCCCATTTTCAACTTTTATCACTTTTACAAAGTTTTCTCTTTTTCCACCAATAGCCACTGTGGAATAATCTGAAATAAGCATATCAATCTTTAACTCATTCAAGTTCTGAATTTTTCTTCCAAACTTATTAATGTTGTCAAAATCATGATCTAGATTGTGGGATTGCAAGTATTCACAATATTTGCAGCCGTCTCTGTGCTGGATCGGATATAAGATTGTGACTTGGTGTGTTCAGGCTGGGATTGCTGATCTTCCTTGCAAGATCACGAGATCTGTGATTTTCTCCTAGTTGTATTCGGCTGATGTGACTTGGTTTCAAGGTCTGGTTTTGTGACTTGATTTGAAAAAAAGAAAGAAACTCTCAAGCCATTCTCTCATGCAACACCATGTGAACCTGATTTGTCCTACTTTTTGATCTGGGCTTTTGGGCCTCTTCATTTAAAACAAAACCACTGTTGGATTTTTGGACTGAGATTTATGTTCCATCTCTTTCAGCATCTTTTATTTTTAAATTTTATAATTACTATCAAATAAAAAAGTAGATTGAAATATTAATAAAATTACAAAATAAATATCTAAATTTTCACTTAAATTTTAGTGGTATTATTAAATGAATTAGTTAATTATATTATCATATTTTTATGTTAAGATATAATTTTATATTGTTGGTAGCCTTACTATCTGTAATTCTGTATTATGATCCTATGATTTATGATCTTTAACATCTTTCTTGATGTCAAGTTAGATCTCGAATTTTACAACCTCGGAACTAATTTCTTCACTGAGTAACAGTACATTAAATTCATTCCTCTACCTGGATCTTCCATCCTTCTCAACTCCAAAGAAAGAGTCTTTCAATTATAATTGTGTGGCAAATAAAATACACTTCGAATATCATATGAGACCCCATCGACTTTAAATCCCAGTTTTTGAACTTCATAAACATTTATGAACCAACATTTTAAACTTTATTCTAGCAGGACATATATATGCTGTTTAGCATGATTATACATTTTGGTGTGCTTGTCATATTCTGTTTGTATTGTTCTAGAAGTATGTGTTAAGAATCCTGCTCAACTCAATTTTAAAACTGATTGATTACTTAACTTTGCAGGCCAGTTCATATGTGGCAACAAGAATTGCAATGAGAAAGATGGGTTGGCAAGCTATGAGGTAAGGACCTTATTCTAAAATTTTGGCATTAGATTGTCTAATGACATCAATTGATCCTTGCAATTGACCCTAACTAGTGGGTAAAGGATTTGTTGTTATTACTGGTTTTTTGTCTTCTTTTAGGAATGCATTATGCTATTTACTAGAAATGTGTATCATTATGGGTTGTTTCAGTGTATCATGTTGATATAATTATTAGGTATAGAAATGTTAAGATAACTTGCTCTCGAATATAATTACTAATTTATGTGGTTCCCCCAACGAATTTCACTAGTTCAACTTACAATTTCTTGATTCCTAACAAATTTCAACCAATGATTGTGTGTTAAAAAGAATGTGTTCCTAACACCTCTAATTAGGAATATTGTATGTTTGTTTTATTAAATACATTATATTGAATCTTTTATTGTAGTTTAGACATGTGGTTTTCAGCATATGCTTATTTTTCTTTCTCACTCAACACTTGCTTTGTTGATCATTCTATCAGCAGGTTTTTGTTTGAGGGTCAAGGTGATGTAATTTTTATATATCCCATTAGGTGTTTTCACTCCTTTATTCTATTTGCTTGATATTACAGGTGAACTTTTGTTACTTTGAAGCTGGAGAAAACAAACAAGCCCTAGTTAAATTGGTAACATGTGAGAGGTGAGTTGGTATGTGCCAATGCTGGTTTTGTGCTTCTGCTATTGTTTTATTCCGTATTGAATGTTAGTACTTATGTCATTAAGGGCTTTGTGTGTCTTTTTCTTTTTAAAGGTTGTGACAAAATCAAATGCGTTTCATTTTTTTTCTTGGTTATTTTTTAATAGATGTGCATGCAAACTCAACTACAAGAGGCAAAAAGAAAAGGAGCAGTTAGAGAAAAGACAACTAGAACAGGATAGACGAAAGAGGTCAGAACATTGCTCCCCCCAATCCTTTCTTATTTTTTTCACTTCTTATTGTTATTGACTAGAAGATACAGAGATTGAATCCTTACATTTTTAGGAGTCGTTCAAAGAGTGATGATGATCTAGATGACTTTCAAGAAAGCAAAGAGAGAAGGCGAAAAGGTTTGAAGTTTCACTACCTTTATCAGTGGATGGCCAGATTTACATCATGGCATGATAATCTCTGTATTTTCAGTTTATCATTTGTTTATGTTGCAGGATAGACCTGGTTAATCTTAGCAATTTCACCTTTTTTCAAGAAAAATAAAACAAGGAAACAATAGGCTATGGGTAGGGACTATCAATTAGTAAGTAAAATGAGATGATGACAGAGAATGTAATGGAATGAAGTTGCTATTCCATTGAATGGATTTTTTTATTTATTTATGATGGAACCGGGAGAAGAAAGTTCCATTTCATCATCCTATTTTAAAACAATCCAAACAATGGAAGCTAATATTATTCTGTTACGGAAAACAGAAAAAGTTTGGCGGTGATGATATTATTAAATGTACGAGAAAGATTATTCCCCTTGTTATCCCTTGTTATTAAATGCTAAGCCTCCTGTCCCCACCCCCAAGCCACTACCTATTTATATTCTCCTTGCACGTCATAGGTTCTCTCTGCCCATAATTGACAGATCCCCTTCCTACCCTTCTACAATATACTTGCCAACTCAGCCCATGGTTGGGTTGCGCCTGTCCGTTCCTGCCATCTCAATTGGGTCCTATGCTTATGTGCTAACATATTCCATAACAAGATTCCATTCCATCCCTTTCATTAATCCAAAAATAACTACATGAATAATGCACCAATTGTTATGCTCGATACTGTAAATCATTCAACAATAGTTTTCTTTTAGTAGGAGGGCTTGGATTTGTAATGATCAATTTTTCAGGTCATTTTCTTAAAATAATGAAATTATTTGTTGCAATTGAGTTGACTTTGAAAGGATAACTGTATGATGTTGAGGTGGCTGAAGAGCTTTCAAAATGTATGTGGATCTTTGGTTTGTCTGTGCTTTTGTAAAGCTTGTCAACGTGTTTTCATCAATTTTATTGTAAATTAAGATATGTCTGATGGGAAACTTGGTTAGAAAACTGTTAAAAGCCTTTTCGGGAAATGAAATACCTTGGGATTAGTTACTAATTACCGTGATGTGACACCTTGTTTACTCATAGGTTAAAAGTTTTGATCTGTAACAATGGGTTAAATTAAGACGTATTGCTTTCTGATTTGAGTGGTAAAGGTGGGGAATTTTGGTTCATCTTTTAAGCGTGATGACGACAATAAACTGTCTGCTTGACTTGCTTCTTTATAGTTCATAAAAATGTTTGGAAATCCTTTACATGCTTCAGAAATCTTGTTCTCACATTTAATTGTCTGTTACAAGCTTAAACTTTCTTGACCATGTATTCACAGGGAAAAGGGCTTTGACTTCAGCCAGTGATCATAAAATTGATGATGATGATAACTTAGATGAGTTTCTTGAGGGGATGTTTCCCTGATCTTGGCTGATTGGTTGTCATACCTAAAAGTGCTTCCTGACGCTGAAGTTGGGCAAATAGAAAAAGGTTAGGCAATGGTGGAGACGAGTGGGTGATCTGCAGGTTCCTGCCTAAAATATAGAACATGGTGACCACGAATGCTTTTGACGAACTTATTCGCCTTGAACACTTCAAAATTATTTCCATTTATTCAGACTATTTGTGTAACATGCTAGGCGAGTTTGTTTGTATGCTGTACAGCTTGTATAGTCTTTTTATATCTGTTACAATATATAAAGGAGAAATAGATTTTTTTTATAATACTTTTCAATAGTCAATTTTAATTTTTGATCAGTCATTTTTTTATTTTATTTTATTTATTTAACATTAAAAATAATTTTAACTTAAATTTTAATTTTCACTATCGTTGGTATCCTATTATCATAAATTAATCACGGTTTTTTATAACAGTAAACAGTTATTTTTTTAATATTTTATCTTTATATTTTTGGTTATTTATCATTTATTTTCTATTTTGAATATTTTGAATATTTTATAACATAAAGGAATGAAGTGTTTCAATAATAAAAGTAGAATGATTTGCTTGTTGACCCTGAACTCATTTTACAACATACTAGTATTTTAGTTTTATCATGATGTAGAATATAAATTATTAAATAAAGTAAGTTTAAATAGGTTTATTTTTAAAATAAGAGGATATATATATATTAGTTTTTAAAAAATTTATTAATATTAAATCATGAATAATTAGTACCTTCATCTGTACAATAATCGAGTTGGTTTTTGAAACATTGTTTTTTACAATTAAGGAGTAACACATAACAAGAGTTGATACACATGTCGGGTATATTTGGGTTGACATTTGTATACTTAATCACACATTCATGAGCCATGGAACATCGTATTAATATGTTTGGTTGTCTTCTTCCTTGTGTTCAGTGGATTTTTTGTTGCAATTTCTTTATTGTTTTTACTTTAACGTTAACGGATTTTTGACCTTTTTCATTGAAATTATTAATTTGAACAACTGTTTTTTGACTTCATTACCCTTTTACCTACCGGTATTGAGGATTCATAAATTTGGGTATGGCTATGATTTCCAAATTTCTAAATTTCGTGCTTTAATTTTAGGTTCCAAATACTTGTTGGTTTTAGATCTTCCATGCATATTGCTAATTTTGAGCTTCTAACTTGGTTGAGGTTGTGATTCCAAGCTTGTGCACAAACTCTACTCTTAGCAAGCTTGCATTTTTTTTTTTCCCTTTCTTCTTTTTTTTTTTTTTGGTTTCTTTTTTTTTTTTCCCATTTATCCTTTTTTTTTTTTTGGGTTCTCTTTTTTTTTTTTTTTTTTTTTTTTTTTTTTTTTTGTGATGGTATGATACTTGATTCATGCCTTGTTTTATATTGTTATTCTTATTTGTGATGTTTTGTCATGATTTATGAACACTTCTTTTTTTGTGATGATTTGTTACTCCTAAATTTATAAGAAAACAAAACCTATCTCTTTTGTGGATGTATAACTAATTATTCTATTTTTTTTTGGCAACTTATGCAAACATTAAACTTGAAATAACCTGCAAATAAATGTTGATATCTCTTTTATAATAGAACAATGAGTAATGACAAAAAAAAAGGCAATGTAGAGACTTATGTTATAGATAATGAAGGTGTTAAGGCAAAAGTTGCATGGGATATCAAGGCAACTGAAATTTATATTAAAGTATGTTTGAAACATGTGTATAAAGGAGAACGAAATGCAACTACTCTTACCAAGAAAGGGTGGATAGTTGTTGAATTTGAATTCAATGCAAAAATAATAAAAAATATATAGCAAGAGTCAGTTCAAAAACAAATGGGATAACCTAAAAAAAATTGTTAGTATGGTACAAATTGTTTGGGAAAAAGACTAGACTAGATGTGATAATTTGAGAAATACGGTGGATGCATCAGATGAGTGGTGGGATAAAAATCAAATGGTATGAAGTCTCTTAATAAGAATTTAGAAAATTTATATTGATTTTGTGTAATATATTGTTTTGATTACTTGTAAACATGCAGGAGAATCCATTATACGAGAAATTTAGATATAAAGGACTTGCTTTTACTCATGAGTTAAGTATATTGTTCAGTGATGTGGTGGCTACTAGAATATTCAGTTGGGCACCTTCTTCTAGGATATTATTAGATAGATTAGATGGAGATAATAATGTATATCTCCGTAGTTTGATAGTGTCAATACAAACTTAGAGGAAGGTTCAAGGGATAGTGAACAAGTACTTCCTAATGTTGGAGTAAGCTCATATTTAGGAAATATCAATTTAAGCACTACTTAAGAAAAAATAGCAAAAAGAGCACTGGAAAAAGGAAGAGGATTGGAAATGAAAACACAAAGGTGAAAACTCCTACTTAAAAAAAAAATAGTTGATGCAATCAGTAGAATTGCATTTTCTTCTAAGTCATGTTTAACTACTTTAAACACACTAGTAGTTAGTGGCACATCCATTTCTAAAGTGATGAATGAAATCGAAAAAATGAAAGCTATTACAAGTGATATGGATTGGCACGCTTGGTACAACCAACTTATATTATCCAAACCTACTAGGGAAATGTTTGTTGTATTGCAAGAATGTGAGAAAAGATTATTGGGTTGGCTAAAGTATGCTGTTTATAATGCATTATCATCTCCGAAAAGTTAGATTTCTAGGTGATGGATTAATTTAATTTATATTTAGTAGAAATTAAAATCCCATGACTTCTTATTTATTCTGTTTGTATGCTTCTACATAGTAATAAAGAGAACAAACAATCATGTATCAATTTTTTTAATTTGTTTTAACAACTAATTTGTTACAAATTTGGTGTCTAGTAGTAAGTTTAGATGATCAATGGAGGATTGTAACAAATAATATGTAGAAGATCAAAATGAAGATTTTACCTTGCTTTCTATTTGACAAGATGATATAAAAAAGGTTGAAGATGTAAGTGCATTAATTAGTGAGTAATTTAGGGGTGGGTATACAGACCGGTCCGGCCCATTTAAGGTCCAGTCCATAAAACTCGCGTTTTATACGGGCTGGATAAGTCCGGTCCTTAAAATAAATAGACTTATTTTTTAAGTCCGTATCCGACCCGCCAAAATCTGTGGATAACGGACCGGTCTGCGGGCCTAAATAATGGTTCAAAAAATAAGTTTTTAAAAATAAAAATACATAAAATTAGAAGAAAAAAAATAATTTTTTTTGTAAGATAAATTTTATCATACTAAAATTTATCAATAGTTAAAATAGTTTAAAATACTAAATATTAAAATATTAAAATAAAAATAATTACAAATACTTAAATAATAGTACCAAACTTTCAATAATAAAAGCATCAAAATGTCATAAAAATAATTCAAATGAAAAATACATACCAACTAAACATAATTTTAATGTCATAATAATTAAAAAAATTAAATACACAACTTAATATTAAAATCATAATATTTAAAAATATTAATTAGTAAAGTCTGCAGACTAGCCCGCGAGCCTGCGGATTAAATCCGCCAAGTCCGCGGACTTCACGGGCCGGGCTAAAAAATCAAGCATAGTCATACGGATTTGAAAAAAATGGGTTCGTTATCCGCAAAATCCGCGGGCTTACGGACCGGTTCGTGGATCCGGGTCCATCTTTACCCACCCCTAGTGAGTATGTCATAAAATATCTATGTAAAGAGCCATGTAGAATTAGTGAACAAATAGGTTATTTATGGGTGCAGGACATTTTGAATGGACATCCTATTCATTGTTATGAGATGTTTCAAATGGAAAACATGTATTTAATCAATTTTGCATTGAATTGGTTGAACAAGGTTTAAAAGGAACTAAGCAAATGGGTATTCAAGAAATGGTTGCAATGTTCTTAAACATGGTTGGTCATGGAGTAGACAATAGGATGATACAAGAAAGGTTTCAACATTCAAGAGAAACTCTACGAAGGCATGTCCATCAAGTATTAATTGCATGTCTTAGATTAGCTTTCAAATACATCAAGGCACAATATTCTAGGTTTTGTGATGTTTATAAAAAAAATTGAACATGACCGATGATATTGACCATTTTTCAAGGATGATATAGGAGCAATTGATGATACTCATATTTTATGTGTGGTTAGTCCTAGTGAACAATCAAAATTTATTGGAAGAAGCACTTAAACAAGATGGAGAATTTTCTCCAAGAATTTTTGTAGCGAGAGTCAAAATAGTAAACCTACTCTTGAAGTGTCCAGTAGAAAGGACTTTCGGGGTATGGAAAAATAGGTTTGCAATTTTAGGTCACATGCCTAAGTTCAAATTTGAAATGCAAGTTCAATTAATTGTTGCCACAATGACTATACACAATTTTATTAGAAAATAATCTCAAAATGATTTTGAATTTCTATATTATGAAAATGAAAATATGAAGGAGCAAGAAAATGATGATCATATTGGTGAAGATCAACTTCTATTCTTAAGTGTGGCCTCTTCAATGGAGATGAATCTTGTTCGAGACTCAATTCGAGATCAAATTAAAGACCATATGTCAATTTAATTAATCATGCATTTATATTTCCAATTTATATTTATTATATTTAAATTTAGAGAATGTATAATTAATTGTTGTTTTTCTTTATATATTTTATTGTAGTTTAATCAATATTGTTATTAAAATATTTTAACATTATTTATAATTTAATTTATAATATTATCACCATTTAGTATTAATAATAATATATTATCAATTTAAATATACTTTAAAAATAATAAAATAAATAACATTCCATATTATATTATAAATTTCATACCCATTTTAGTAATTGTATATTTAAAAGTACTTTTAATTATTATCATCCAAACAATTTTTTTTTAATCAAGTTAACTTAACTCACTTTTAACTAAACTTAAGTTTAAAACTCAACTTTGTAACTATAACCTAAATACACACATAATTTTCACACTTTTTCTATCTTCTGTTTGATCAGTTTTACCTTTCGTCTCTACGTTCTTCCTATTTTTTGCTTTAACAGTTTGATAACCAATTAGTACTCTACCACGTCCTACATTAATATTTTTTTTAGTTTTAATTTTCAATTTTATTAAACACATGCAATGAATTTGACACTGAAATTTAAACAGTCAATCAATAAAAGATAGCCGTTTGCATGACTTTTATGTAGTTATTGTAGTTAATAAACTTATTATTTATAATAGATTGTGATTGATTTATTGAATAAAATTATTTTATACTATTACTGAATCACCATTAACGGAAATAGTTTTTTAGAA